TTTTAGTGGAAAATAAAATTCAGATGATGGTTTATTAAGGAACACTATCGACAAACTAAATATTGTTTGTTCATTGTGGTTAATAAGACGTATCAAGTGATTCTTAGTGACTAACAGCATTTCTACTGTTCAAGAATTAATTAGATTATGTATTAATATGTATAAACTAAATATTTTGAACACAATTTTATGGTTTCAACTAAATATATTTTAAATGTTATTGTATGCCTTCAACTACAGATAAAATGTTGTTGGTAATTCTAGTATAAAATATACTGTTACTCATTTTGCTTTAAAATTGTATTGTTAGTCATTTTAATTTACATATGTATTGCTATAAATTTTGTTTTATATAAAAATGCATTTTTTATACATTCATAGGGTTTTGTTTTTGTTTGAGGATTCACTATTTACCCATAGCTGGGACCCAAACAGGAGCTGCTACTCCAATAGATTGATATTAGTTAATCAATGAGACACAAGTTGATCAATACTCAAACAACAAGTGCTGGGGTGAGACGGGGGATCTGTGAAATGGCAGGAGGATAATGTTCTCTTATTGTTGATTTTCATATTGCTATGATTCATTTCTAAATTCTACTTTAACTCTATGCTTCTAACGTCTCCACTTAAACTCTTTTATTTACCATTTATTTTTTTCTCTCCTCACTAGGAGTAGATATGTTTGCTTATTGTCCAGTTCACACTCCTCCCCAGTTTTTTGAACAGGATTAGCAGTTTATCTCTTGTTTCCTGTTTAGGATTAGTATTCCGATCCTTTCTAAAGTCTTTTTATTCTCTTTCACTCCCAGTAGGGTAAATGGATTAAAAAAAGATCCTCGTTAGTAAAGTTAATTTTTTAGATTGCCGACTGGACAGCACAAAAATCTAGAATTGTGTTAAAAGGAAAAAAATGCAACTGCATTAAGTATGGCTGGCTACTTGTATCTGACTATACCTGTCTGGTAGCTAGCTAATCCCTATTGTAGACACCTACTTAGGCTCATTTGTACTGGTTAAATCACCACAAGGGCAGTACGCTCAAAGCCTCGGTCACTATGACTTGTGACTTTGTGTTAGCAATGACTTCTTAACAGTTTTGTCACCCAATTAAACATGTGGTATGGTTTTCAGGTACTTCCCAGTGGTTATACAGTGCTAGGATAGTATCCAAAATCATAGACGAATCGACTATGGTGAGATTTGAACCCTTACCGTTCTAACCACTTGGACACTTTTATATTAAATATTTACCTTAGAAAAACTAGAGAATATTTTGGTAGAGACATTATGATGGGAATATAATCAAATCATTACAGCTTTGGTAAGGGTTTTAAAAAATCATTTCACCCCAAGCAAAGCGATAGTACCCCTAAGATGCAAGCGGTTACAGGGGGTGGAAGAGAATGAGAAGACTTTAGTGAGGAGAAGCGAAGAAATGACAATAAAGAAACACGCTTCAGGAAGACAGAAGATGGATGTTACGCTTAAATTTTTGAAGATTGTCGGAGGCAGCAAGAAATTTTAAGATATTTCCAAAGGCTAGAAATGTTAGAATAGAAGAGACGATTGCATCTGGCTTGTTCAACAGTAAAACAGTGAGACCTAATTGTCAATCTAGTAGCAGTCGAAACACTAAGGAAAAAAGCTTATCAGAACAATTGCCATGAAAATATTTAAGAAAAGACATAGGGAAACCACTTCACATCGGTGAGAAAATGACTGAAGACAAAATGCCTGGTCAGGATTGATTCCATTAGAGATTCTTCTTTGGATTCTGTCAAGAATCTTGAGATATACAGCAGTCCTAAACCTAACACTAGACCAGATACGACAGCAATAGTAAATGAAAGACAGATTCAAGTTCATGCCTTACCATAAACAATTTTTATTTCTATTATTTGATTTCATACAGTTACTTTAAGAGTCAAAGAATCGGTTGGATGTCTTCCAAAATAAATAAAAAAATAAAAAATAAACAAAGTTAACAATAAAAGAAAACACATAAAAATAATTATGAAGAAAAAAATTCTAATCATCAATTTTGTGAACGAAAGTATGAAAGTTATTTGATTAACATTGAAAAACAAAAAATAGCTTGATATGTGAATTTCAATTGTCTGACTTGTCACAAGTGATCGTTTTGTTTTTCCATTCCATCGTCAGGCCAAAGTTATTCAGGTCTCTTTTTCTGTATATAAACAAAAGGAGATTTTAATAATGCACACCTGTTTAGAGAATAGGACAAAGTAAAATTCCCATGTAAGAACAGAATATTCTTGTTAATTGTCAATAATATTGATAGACCATGAACTTAAAAAGCATTCTTCACTAATAGAAAACATTTTGAAAAAAGTGACTGTTCTGAAATCGGATTTCTTTTTCATTACGTTTGTTTTTATAGCCCCCAAAACTATCATTATCTCTTTGAGTGACATGGATTTTTAAATACTCTTTTTTTTACTAAATATTCATCCAATACAAAACCCAAAAGCTATTCATAGTAGTGTGTTACATGAATGCGGCTGTTGAATGAACATAAGAGGGTAGGTAGATTATGAGGATATGTAGGATAGATAATGGTTGACCTTTGACCTGAAGAGGTTAAGATTATAGTGACTGAGAAAGTATCCTCTTGGAAGTCTGTTCCACAGGTTACACGGGAAGAAGCTGTCTGATATATATATATATATATTTATATATCAAAACAATATTGCGGAAAAATGTATGACATTGATATTGTGGAAGTGGTGGGGGAAACTTTGTCGTTTTGTCATAACAAAACACCACAATAACACCAGTACACGCAATCTACATAAACCCAAATTTTTTAAAACATTAATCAGTTTGTCTGACGATCGCTAAAGCGTGAAACCCAGGGTCACAAACTCACATCTATCCAACCAAATATGCTAGCTCTATCTCTGATATTGAGCGCTTTCCACACACACACACACACACACACACACACACACACACACACACACACACACACATATATATATATATATTTGAACTCTATATCAATCCTTCATGAACTTCCGATCTTTAACTATGATTAATTAATGAGGAACATGTCATTTTCGTTTATGATCGATTTTATCATGATTCTTTTGTTAATTGTGGAGAGTAATTATACATTTTTATTGCTCAAAGTAGAGTTGGCGAATCCCAGTAAGATACAATGGTTTAGAACTTAATCTAACAATTAGAGAATTTTGCTGTTAAACGATTTCGACAATTTTTTGATGTTACACCCGGTATATATATATATATATATATATATATATATATATATATAGTCATTCACAGACAGAATGTTTCGATGTATCACAGCTCTTCAGTGTGGCTAGATGCCCGATTGCTTCAAGCCGGGATCGAAACCCGACCGATTTGCCATCACTCAGCAATCCTAGGCTATCGTTACACGGTAAAGAGAAATGGAAATTTTAACGTTTTCTGTAAGAAAATTCGCCAGTGGCCAGGAGAGCTTAATTCATAGTTGAAGAGCATTGCATTAATAGCAGTAGGAGCCACTGTTTTTAAAATTACCCTTTTCTCAAGATGACTCAAACAGATTTCCCGGGAGCATATATATATATATTTAATGGATAACTGTATATGAGTAGACGCTTCATTTATTTAAAATAGTATTTCTGTAGACAAAATAAATACTGTTTAAAATAAACAGGGCATCTATGCAAATACGGTTATCCACTAAAAATAACATGTAAGGTAATGAAAATCTCTCTCTACGTATGTAGATCTCTATATATGTATATATCAATGTGCGTATCTGGGTAAGGGTGGACCTGGGAACAACAGCAATTAAGAGGTGGTTCCACTCTCCTGAAAACCTCCAATCTCCTGATTGGAGGCCTTGCTGATGGATGTAGTTTAATGTCATACCCAGGACGATAGAAAACGTAAGAAAGAGAAACTAAAACATGTGCACCAGCTAAAAAATGATTCTGGTTTGAGTAGGGAAGAACTAATTAAGATCATGGAAGAATTGAGGAAACTTGTTAATGGTATTATCTTGCCATTCCTTCTATCACTTAGGTGTTCATGACTCTCCACAATTTCTTGCCCCTTCTCGTCCTTAGCATTTTTTCTTTCTTTGCTAAAGCTCCCATCCCTGTTCCATAATCCATTCACATTTGTAAGGTATGTGGCTTGCTGCTCTTGCCCTCAATATGCCATGTGAGGATTAAGTTTTCCAAGCCCACCTTCCTTGTTATGAGTCCAAAGAATTTCAGCTACCTTTTCCTTATCTTGCGTATAAGTGTTCTTTCTGTTGCCATCAAATCCAAACCGTAGGGGGGTGGGGAGGGGCTAAGGCCTGAGTGATACTGTTGCGCCAAATAAAAAAAAAAACTCTGCAAGATGTGAAGTTTAGACAGTTGAATTCTTCAAAATGTTTGGATACATTCTAGACAAACAATATACAATATTACCTTTACTATCTATCTATCTATCTATTTCTCTATTTCTCACTCTCTCTCTCTCTCTCTCTCTCTTTCTCTCTATATATATATATATATATATATATATATATACACACACACAGCTGCGATGGGTAAATTGTCGTCATTTTATATGTTTAATTTTGTGCATGTGCGTTGTTCATTTTTGATTTTGTCAACTACACAGTATAGTGGGTTCAGTTGGGCACCATCTATGAGAAAAAAGAGCACCACAACACAATTCACTCTGCCAGAAATTTGGAAATGGCATGCTGTACTGCTTGGCATTCACACTGGAAGCTCGAATATCTGACCACCTAACTAACTAGACTGCAAGTTGAGAGAGACAGCAACAAAACTGCTTGTAACACCAAAGATGAACTGAAGGCAAGTGGAATTGTTTGGTGACATTGAAGTAATAAAATTTTAAATTTGATAAATAAAACTCCATAATTATTCAATGGTGAATAGAATATTATCAGTTTAATATTTAAAAAGCATTCACCATAAATAAATAAATCTATCACACTAAATATGTTCATATCTATCTATCTATCTATCTATCTATCTATCTATCTAAATCTGTTCATATCTCTCTATCTGTTCACATCCGTCTATCTGTTCATATCCATCTATTTTTCTGTTCATATCTATCTGTTCATAAGTATTTTTCTGTCTATCTGTTCATATCTATCTATCTGTCTGTTCATCTGTTTATTTTTTTCTATCTATCTATCTATTCATATCTATCTGTTCATATTTATCATATCTATCTGTTCATATCTATCAATGTATCTGTTCATGTCTACGTATGTGTCCACATCTGTCTATTCATATTTATCTATGCCTCTTCTAAATCTTATCAATCTATCTGTTCTAGTTAAGTTAGTTCTTGTTTTGTTTATCTTGTTCCTTAATTTGCCTTTTTATCCATTCATTATTATCTATCATCTATCTATCTGCATGAACCTGAATCTATCTGTTCTTTTCTAGCTATGCATTCATCTGTTCATCTGTGCTCTCTATCTATCTATCTATCTATCTATCTATCTATCTATCTATCTATCTATCTAAATCTGTTCATATCTATCTATCTATCTATCTATCTATCTATCCATCTATCTGTTCTATCTATCTGTTCATAAGTATTTTTCATATCTGTTATCTATCTATCTATCTATCTATCTATCTATCTATCTATCTATCTATCTATCTATCTATCTCATTCTGTTCATATATATCCTATCTGTTCATATCCATCTATTTATCTGTTCTATCTATCTATCTATCTATTCATTCTGTTCTATCTATCTATCTATCTATCTATCTATCTATCTATCTATCTATCTATCTATCTCCTTATCTCTCTATGTATCTATCTGTTCTATCTATCTATTTTTCTATCTATCTATCTATCTATTTATCTGTCTATCTGTTCATTATCTATCTATCTATCTATCTATCTATCTATCTATCTATCTATCTATCTATCTATGTTCATATTTATCTATCTGTTCCTATTTCATATCTATATGTTGATATCTATTTTTATATCTATTTGTATTTTATATGTATCTATCTATTCATATCTATTTCTTCATAGCTATCTATCTATTCATGCCTATCTGTTCATATCTATTATCTATATACATTCATTCTATCTATCTGTCTGTCTATCTATCTATCTTCTTGTTCTATCTAACTATCTATCCTTTATCATATCTTCTGATTTAAAGAATCATTTTCTTCTGTGTTATTGTATTTGTTGTACTTATAAATTTTTGATGTTAATATTGCATACGTCTTAGAACACTAGGTTAGGGAAGAAAACCCCATCAATATCTGGAAAAAGTGTCAACTATTGTTCCATTAGCTTTGTTAATAAATCTACCAATCCATGCAATAACTTGTGTTTGGAATCAATGTGTTAAAAGCTTTATATAAATTTAATTTTATCTGTAACTATCTGGTATCTATTTATCTGAATATTGTATGTTTCCTTAGAAAAGAAATGACAAATGCTATCTATTAAATATAAAAGCAACTGTTACATATATTTGGCGTTAACATCCTTAGTCATTCTTAAAAAATAAAAAAATCTAAAATCTATCTAAAATTTCATATCTTGTATCATCTGAATATCCATCTAATATTTTTTGTTTAAAATTTCTCTTTCAATCTCAATGTTTATTCGTCTTAATTCCTTTGTTTTCTATTATTGATCGGTTATTGACCTGATTAAAAAAATGAAAATTATTTGTTGATATGTTTTGGGAATTTATTATCAAAAATCTGTTCATGAATGTCTATCTGTTCAATGAATTCTAGTCATGTTATATTAATCAAAATCTAGCCAATAACATCTTTTCATCTCGATTTTTTTTTTTGGCATCTGAAAATTTTTCTTTGCAGAAATCAAAATCTAAATTTTTCAAAATTGTCTATCTGTTCTATCTTATTTGTTATGTCATCTGTCTGCTTGTGAATGTATACAAACATTTTTGATCTATCTTTAATTCATTTCTATCTATCTATATATATATATCTATATATGTATATCATCTGTGTGTCCATCTATTTTTCTGTTCATATCTATCTGTTATGTATTTATCTGTCTATCTGTCATATCTATATATATATATATATATATATATATATATATATATATATATATATATATACATACTCATGTTATATATATGCGTATATTGGACTGGCGTTTTATATGTATACTAAATAGCATATTTAAATTATTTAATAGATGTTCATCTGTTATATGTATGGGTATGTATCTGGTCAGGTTGAAGTGAATTATATAAATTCAATGATTCTATCTATCTATTTATCTATCTATCTATCTATCTATCTGTTCATATCTCTATCCTGGTCATCAAGATGGTCATTTTTTTCCAGGTAAGAACATTTTTCATTTTCATAATTTTATTGATTTATTATTATTATTTTATGTTTTGTTAAATGTTTTGATGAATCTATTGTCTAGAGATAATCTATTGAAAACAGTATCTGTTTTTTT